ATTATAACACTTGAGCGGTGGTTCACCGATTGAAAATTGGTAAACCTTAAACTAAACATATGACAGCCTTTATAAAATAAAACGTTGTACATAAAATATTTACAAAAACACGTCAGAAGATAACGACGGTAACACTCCAGGTTAGCAGAAAGAAACGCAATATCTTCGCTAATTGGTAGAATATGTACCCATAGTGGTGAACTGGAAGAACTATCTGACAGGAAACTTGACTTATTGACAAATTATATCTTATATGGAAGCAGTTCAGAATCATTTAGATTTAATATTTTAGTTTTAATATTATTATTAACATATTAGGTAGAAGGAGAAGGTTGACAGATTATCAAATTCAAAAAATTGGTTAGTACAATTTTCATTTTCAATTAGTAAATCAGGGGCGGAATTTATAACACTTTAAATTACTTTCATAACTCTTTAGATATTTTGCCAGAGTAACAAGATTACGCTGAAATTAACACCTGTTCAACCTGATCAAGAGTAAATTTAGATTGAATTCAAATTTACCAAACGTTATAAGTGTCCCGGCTTCGAACCGGAAATATATATCGGTTCGGTTCCGCTTTTCGCTACGACAAAGATATCGTTTTTTTTCGGTTTTCGGTTCGGTTCCGGTTCGAAGTCCTGATTTAAATAATAAAATTAATTTAAACCATGCTCACAATAAATTCTAAATAACACGTGTACCCATGATATTATTTTATATTAGGGGTATTTAGGACGTGCTCGGTATCGAGTTTTTTCGGTTATTAAGTCATGGTTAATTTTTTAAATTAAAAGTTATATATGTTCTACTTGTTATAAATCCATGATAACGCTAAAAATATAAAATATATGTTTACATATATGAAAAAGTTAAGAATTGATGCTAAAATTGGAAAGTTAATACAGTGATGAAAATATAACGACATTAGTGAATTCCTGGAATTAGATATAATATATAACGAAAATAGAAAAGAGTAGTTTATGTTATACTAGTCTAAATGAAAAGAGTAGTGTTACTGTATATCGAAACTATGTGCTAACAAGTCTTATAATATATATGTACATACATATACACTATCGCAGAGGTACAATAATGAAATTATCGTCGAACATATTCGAATATCTAAACATATTCATATTGAGGCAATTGACTAAAATGTTATTTTTATTTTTCTAATTACATACTCATTTCCAATCTACACATGTTATATGCAGTTTAAGATAATAAAGCAAAATAAATTATATTTGCAAATAAATTTTTCTGATAAAATAATGAAAATTTTGAATTTTCGCTAAGTCATTAACATTTTAAACATTATAGTAAATGTACAAACATATATCAAAATTATTTTCTATTTATTTTATCTTTTGGTTTTTTAATTTTTTAAGTCTCATCTCAGAATTTACATACATTTTTGATGCACGCCGCTTTATTATTATTAAATTTAGCAAGTCAATATTATTTATATAGATATTTTTAGCAACGTTCCATTTATATAGTGAAATACATATATACATACTCATGTACAGCTATTTCTTTATTAATTAGTACTAAACAAGTGAGTAAATATTTTTTTTAAAAGTTATTTAAATTAACAAATTATTTAAATAGTAAAATAAATTTAATTAATTCACACATGTTGATAATATGCAATAAAACTTGTTCGGCGGTGAAAATTTTGCTTCTCCATTGAGACAATTTTGAAATTAGCAATTAATGCGTCACGCATCAGGTTATTATATTCAAATTTAGTGCAGTCATGTAATTATGGCTAAAAACTGCTTAAATTTTTTATATTACAATTGACTTTTTTTCCGAGTACCCAAAATATCCATTTGGTCCATTTGGTAATGGTCACATTCACTTTCCGATATCTTGCTATTGTTGTTATAAACGTCGGAATATTCACCTCTTATTGTGGTAAAGGCTGTATGTTATGTTAAAATTTTCTGGAGCATGTAGTAAATTATGATGATGATAATGATGAAAAAGATATTAAATATATATTTGCAATATTATTTGCAGTGCTATTGTAATTGTGAGACAAATGTCAGATGTCATCGAGCGATGAAAACAGAGATCTGAGACGTGTGATGTTACAGATCTCTCGAAAAGAGGGAAGAAGAAAAATTTCGGAAAGGATGGCTAGAATAAATGGAATACTAGAGAGTATAAATTCGAATTCATTAAAATCAAAATTTTTTTATTTAACCTTTACAATCCCAATTTTTCTATTTTAACCTGTTATTACTAAAGATCTTGATGCGTAGGAGAAAACGGGTTACAGATTTGAGCAGACTCAAAAACTGTTCAAAAATCAAAACAGAGAAATAAGAGACTTTATTGTCAAAAGCATATTGAATATCACGTAAAATTCCTTTTCACTACTCTTTGTTCTCAAATATAATTTAATAATATTGCTCAGATATATATGTAGTATTGTTTCACTTTTAAAAAAATTGTTTTCTAGATATAGTGAATAATCTATATAATGGAAATTGTGAGCGTATGTAAATGTTCTTCAATCTTGGAAATTATGTGTAAAGGACAATAATTATTCGTTATAAGATCGAAATGGGTTTATGGCTTATTTGTTTTGGAGATAAATAATATTTGTAGATATTTGTGTGTGATTTATTTTGATTAGTTAATGTTTACAACCTTTGTCTCAGAGTTGAGTTATTTCAAATATGATAATGATGTGGTAATGACAGTTTGAATAATACGTCACTTACCTATGTCGAAATTTTTAGTGAAATATTTAAAGAAGGGTTAATTAAAGATCTTCAAAAGTTTTTTATGTAATTCATATAGAATTTATTATTAACGAACATTCAGTTTTGTTCTAAATTCTTAAGAATTATTGTTTATTGTCATTAGTCAAACATTATATTTAAGCTAATATATATGTATTCACAATTTTCTTATATATTATTTAAAAAAGAAAAAGTTAAAGCTAAATTTGGTTACAGTCACGTTTTGCTTTTAGGAACTTTTTTGTTTTATTATTAAACAAATTATTAACGTATTTATGAGAAGAGTTAATGGATTAACTTTACAAATCAATTAAAAATACGTTATAAATTTTATTTTTCATAAATACGAGTATATTAAATTTAAGTTAAACATTTAGTAATCGTGAAAAAAGATCATTACTATTTTGAATTTAGGTCATATGATTGCCGCATTAATAATACCTCAGGCATTAATGTAAATAATTTTTAGTTTTTTTATCACATTTTCTAATATAACTTAACTAATTGCAAATTAAATTTCACTCTTTTTGGGGTAAGTCAAACACCTGTTGGCAAATATTTAGAATGTAAATAAACGCTTATAATGACTGTGAAGATATTAAATATTTTTTTAAAATGTGGTCATATGTATGGAACGAATTATTTTGTAGGCCATAACATATGTATATATCCACAAATAAAATCATTTTTTTATTAAAAAAATACTTTCTTAATTAAAATTTTAAATTTAATTTTATTTAAGGCAAAGTCAGCAGACCTACTCGGTATGAATAGAAATTATGCTTTACTTTTACAAATATCTCTATTTTTCAAAAAGCAATGGAAACTCTTAAAATACTAAATAGTTAAGACTTAATGATTCAAATTACAGACAGGGTTTAATTGCAACAGTTCATTCATTTAATGACATAGTCCACAGTACCATATTTACAAAGTACCATATTTACTAATATGGTACTGTGTTCTAGGGTTAAAACATATTAGTAAATATGGTACTGTGCATATAAACATAACATACATAAAACTTTGTTATTTCTATTTTGATTTCACATAAGTTACAGAAGTCAGATATCGATAATTTGGCTTCACTAAGTTCAACTACATATTTTATGACTATGTTTTCAATTGTTAATAAATATAATTATATTAAAATAAATTAAAATTAAATTAAATTCTAAATAAACGTAATACTTACTGACTTTTAGTAGTGCTCATAGGTAATTTAATATTTTTTAAAATTGAAGACTGCTCATGTTCTCAATGAGTTGATAATGAGATGATTTTTTCCCTCTTTTCTCCAAAGTTGTGCTCAATACGAAAATACTATACAGCTATGTATAAAAATACATTATAGGAATATTATTTAAAATTACAATAATCACATTTAATTCAATATAGATATAGGTTTGCTTACCCATCTATTATGTTATTAATTACATATTTAAAAAAAATGTGTATTGTAAATTTGAATGGAGTTATCCTTAAATAGAACTTTTTAACAATATAGGTTGGGTTAGGTTATACCTGCGATCCCAAGGGATCCAATTAGGTCTATAGGCCCATTGTGCTACCGTATTATTAAAAACCCAAGGGTTAAAACCATTTAGAACTTTTGGCAAAGCTAAACGTCGCCACGATCCTCAACGAAGAAAGCCTCTAAAGTGTTGAGGAGGCGAAGTAGGTAGGAGGGACTTTTATCGTCCTCACCACAACTGCGGCAGATATGGATGAAAGGGAGATTTAGCCTCCTAGCATGGTTACCTAAAATAGAATGTAAGAAAACTTACTGATAGCAAGACTGATATCTCTACAGGACATATTGATGAGAGAGTTTGATTTCCTGTTTGCATGATGCCAGTTTGCATGATGTCAACAATATGTCCAGATTGTTTAGGTATTCCGAGTGGTTTCTTGAAGTACCTTTTTAACAATGTAACAAGAGTAACAAAACAAATACACGTCTTATGTGTTATTGATGTGAAATACATATGTAAATTCAAATTTCACTTTTTATTTTAAAGTATTTTAATACTATATAGCTATTATTAGGTTGACACTTTGAAAATGTAAACTTCATGCTTATTGAAGTGGATGCTTATTTTGTTATTTTGAGTGTGCACTTAGATCTGTTGAAATATAAAAATTTCTGTACAAATCATTTTGCAAAATTTCTTAGAATGAATGATGTCTTGTTCAATAACAACAGCTAAGTTAACAAGTGTCAACATTTACAGATGTTTCTAACACGGAATGACAACATAATAAACATTAAACACTATAATAAAAATTCAATTTATATTATGTAAATGATTAATACGCGTTAAGGGTTAATTAGTTTAAATTTTTGATGCTGTCTATCCGGATAATTCAGTTTTAACTGGATTAATACAGATGTAATT